GTCATTGTGATGACTGCTAGTGATAGAAGCTGCGTTAAAGATTTCTGTTGGCATATTGGTTGGAGAACCATGACTATAGCCTCAGACTCTCAGTAGAGTATCGCACAAACAATTTGTAAATGATTGGAGACAAATTTCAAGTTTCCATTTTAGTGAATAGTGATAATTTGTACCCACTTCCTGTTTGCTCACGTAAGTCGTAATAACAAAATAAAATTATATATTTATATGAAAATGTTAATGAAAATTATTAATTAAAATATATAAAGGCAAGTTTATTTTTTTTTAATGAAATATTTCTATTTTTAAAGTTTTGTAATTAGTATCTTAAAAATATTATTTGGTATTTTTTTAATTTTTAATTATGTCAAAAGTGAGAATTTTTTTTTAAAATCTAAATCAGAAACACAAATTTGTATCATAAATGTTTAGGATTAATTTATCATTTTTTTAATGTGTACAATATTATAAAGAATAAAAAATATATTATTAATTTTTAAACTTGTAATATTTAATAATATTAATATATTAAATTATATGTTTTAAAAATATTATATATAATTTCTTATATTATGTGCAATGTTGTACGTGATGCATGATGGAAACTATGATGAATCTGATATTAAATATAATACAAGCATGAGCTTGTAGCTAAAATTATTTTAATAATATTAATGAAGGTTAATTTAAGTAACAAGTAATTTAGTATTGTTTAAATAAAATTTTAAGTTTGAATTTTTATGTATGTAAAAAAAATTTAATAATAAATTTATCCATCACATTTAAGGACATAATCTAGATTAGATTCAAATTAAATTAAATTAAAAAAATTATTTCAATAATAATAAATATAAAATAATTATTATACTTAAATATACAAATTTATTTTAACAAGAGAATTTGTAAGATATATAACTTCCTCGTCAATAAATACTATCATGCTTGTAGTAAATATGATGAGATTGAATGCTTCAATTTTGATGCACATGCCACCGCAGTGTTTATGAGATTGTCGCAATCACGGGGCTAATTGTGCTTATAATATTTAGCACAGAAAATTTGGCATAAGACAGAAACTGTTGTCATTCATCAGTGGCCTGTGATCATTATTTCATGACTTCAAAATTTTATCAAAGATATTGCATGTTTTTGCTGTTTTTTTCAAATTACATGAATCCTTCCACTAACCTTGTCTTGAGCCTACATATTTTTTACATTTAAGTGTATATAATATATATTTTATTTGAGTATTTAGTTAAAAAATTATTATATGTGAATTTATATTAAAAAGTTGATTATAAAATTTAAAATATATTTATTTTTAATTAAATATTTATTTAATAATTTTTTATCATAAAAATTTTATATAAATTTAATTATTAAAATTTATATACAAACTAATTAAAAAATTATCAAAATTATAAGATATTTTATAAGCTTTTTAGAGCTCTTTTCCTAATTTATTTATTTTTGGCATAAATACAATACTTATAAATAGCATCAATCAAATGTATTTAACAATAATAAAAAAGAAAAAGTATATTTTAGATCACTCCTAAATTTTTTAAGACTTTTAAAAAATATTTATAAAAAATTCAAGATTAAAGTTTAACTTCAGTTGTGAATGTTTTTGGACAAATTTTATATAAATATTTTATTGTAATACATTTGTATACAAGATCACAAATAAAATTGATAGTTAACAAGTAAATTAACTAAAATTACAAAAACTTGTTTTTTTTTTAAATAATGAGATCTAATTAAAAACTTAAAGAAACTGTAAAGACTAATAAATTTAGTTTAATTTTTTATTTGTTATAATTTTTATTAATGAATTATTTATTTATTATTCATATACATAAATATATTTATTAATTAATATATAAATTAATATTTGTATCATTTAATATTTGAAATATATTATAAATTTACATCATATAAAAAGAAAAATATAACTTTAATATTTTATAAAAATTTATATGAACATTTTTAATAAAAATAATTTTTAAAATTATATATTATTAAAAAATTATATATATTTTTTTAAGAAAGGTAATTTAAAAAACTTTTGTAAAATATATTTTAATCATTTTATAAAATATGTTATAAACTTTTTATAATATTTTGTTCTAATTTATGCTTTATTTCCAAAAAATAGTTTTTGATTGTAAAAAGTTAAACAAATTTATCATAATTTATTATCAAATTTTAATATTATTTGTACATAAAAATATTTTTAAAATTTATGTATATAAAACTAAAAAAAAATTAAATAATCATTATTTATAAAAATTATTTTAAATTTGATAAAAATATTTTTTATTTAAATATAATTTATATTTTGTTCTATTATTTTTCATTTTTCTTAAATATTTAAAACAAGGACATAATATTATCTATTTTATTATCCTGATTTATATGAAACATAGGATAAAACGATCATTATTATGGTGAAAGTATGATAAATATTTATTTTTTAATAAAATTATATTATTAAATGTTTTTATTTTTAATGTTTATAATTTTTTAATAATTAAAAATTATTAAATATTTATATTTTAAAATTATAAATACATGTATTTTTTAATTTAACATTTATTTTATGAAATAAATAATGATTATTAAAAAATATATATAGATGTAATAAAATTGTTAAAGAGATCAATCAATGCTTGTAGAATAAAATGTATATATAATTTTATAAGTGATGCTAGCGTTTGTTAACTAATTTTAAAATGAGAGGTTCATTTTAATAAAAAAATATATTTAATATTATCACGTATTATTAAAATAAAATTATATTTTTATTAATGAGGAAGGCATACGAAATTACACTTGAGTTTTATCCTTATCAACGTTCAGTTAAATATTTTAAATCTTTTTATCTTAAGCTTACAAATTTTTTCAAATATGAAATAAAATTTTATTAAGATTTTTAATGTATCTACTTACATATTCTTCTTATAAAACAAATATTAAATAAAAAATATATAATTATTGTCTTAAACATATAAAAATATTTAATAAAATTTATTTAATAATTAAAAAATATACAAATAAAAGATGAGAGAATTTAAATTTATTTAACCAATAAATACTCTTAATTTTTTTAAAATTATATCTATTATTTAATATTTATTTTATAAATAATGAAATTTTTTTAAAAAAATATAAAAAAACTGAGTCAAATTTAACCGGGTTTCATAAATTGGGTCAGAGACTCAGAGTACTTTGACTGGTAACGCTAATCCTATTTCCTTGACTGCGGACCAACATCCCAAATCTTAGTTGTTTTATTAAAATTAATAATTCAAGACTTTTTTTTTTTTTACAACGCCCGGTCAAATGTCAGATATCATGATAAACGTGTTAGTTAATGTGAGCATTAATTTAAGTAGAAGATCTTATTCAGTGCTCTAAATATATTGATTTAAAATTAATACATAATGATTTTTTATTGATAATTATGTTTGAATATATTAAAATTTATATGAGTACATACCTTTTTTATGTTTTTAATAAAATTTTATTTTTAATTCTTGAAAAGTATTAATATCAACTCTATAAACAATTAAAGATGATAAATTTTTATTAAAAAATATTCATCACTTTAAAATATAAAAAAATAATAATTTTTATATTTTTTTAAAAATATTATTTTTAGATATTTAAATTTAATCATAAAAGTTAAGGTTAATAAAATTGTTAATTTTTTAAGTAATGTTAGGATACTCATTGGTAGTTGTTTTTCGTAATTAAATTGCTCTAATTTAGAATTTTAGGTATTGAGTTGATAAAAAAAATAATTTCACTTTATTTTTTTATGTGTTTGTTGTGTGTAATTGAGACTTTGACTTTTGAACATATATAACATGAAATGATATTTTAAAAGCATATAAAAAGTCTTTTCAGAGATATTTAATTTTTTTTAACAAAAATATTTCAAAACCATTAATCTCCTCTCTCTCTCTCTCTCCTGTGACTGATATTTTAAGGAGTATTGTTGTTTTAAAAATAAAAAAATTAAACATTTAAATAATAAGAAGACTTTTTTTTGCAGATTTTTAAAAGTATAAGACATTGCATTGCATGTTTTCAAAGGTTAATGTCTAAATTACATATGATCAAGAGATAAACTAGACTTTTCCTTAAAAAAAATATGCTTTATATTTGAGCTTTAAAATAGAATTTCAAGCGTACCTTAAACTCACATTTCCTACTTAAATAGGCTAGAACATCTTGAATTTAATCAAGAAAAACTTGAATGGAGTAAAATTAAAAAAACCTAAAATTAATTTAACTTTAAAATTTGAAACTCAAGTTTTGAAATTTAATAAGCTTAAATGGATCAGACTGAATCAACCCATTTTATTGGCTCTACCTAGAGGTGTTTTTTATAAAAAAATATTATTAATACATTTTTATTATGATTTATGTAACACTTGAAAGTATCATTTAGTAAAAAAAAATGTTTGTTGTTTCATTAATTAATATTATGAGAGCATTATTAACAAGACCTATTAACTTATTCATTATATTTTTGTTTGTTTAAATGATAAATATTCTTCATTAAAGATAATTTTATTTGATATAGGTAAATACAATATTGACGATAAAGCTTTCTTTTCAATTATTTAATACATTTGCATTCATTTTGAAAACTCAAAATTACACGTTAAGTTGGACAAATTATTCACGATTTGTGTGCTCGCAATTATTTTTTCTTCAATTTTGTTAATTTTGAATGTGAACAATCCACGTGAAAGAAACAGGGTAGAAACTAGAACAGAAAATGAGGAATTGCAAAAGGGTATTCCCAATTTCAAATAGGAGTCCTCTTCTGTACTAAAAATATTGAAATACATAGCCACAACTAGACACTGTAAAATAAAATAATTAATTCAATTCAACAATGCATCACTCAAGTCCAATTGCCCTCCTTTACAATTCAAGAGGAATCTTAAGTTCTTCGCTGACATCTTCCTTATATTCATAGGCTCTTTTTATATATAGAGATCGCAAACACTAAAAGCATTGGGCTTCAACTCTGTTCTATAAGAATACTAAACATCAGAGTAAAATACAGGTCCTTTTCTTGCGTGGTTTCTTCTTTAGCTTTGGTGGCCTCAATGCAACCTTTATTGCAGCATCAAAAACTGTCTTCACATTCTGCGAACAGAAGAAAGAGAGAATTTTAACAATCGCAATAATGTACTCTCTCTCATACTTTTTAAGAAATTTTTAAAGATTTTTGCTGTTCTTTAAATGCAAGGTCATTTATAAAATTTTATGATTATTCATTATTCTTCTTCTTATTATATTATTATTAAACTTACTCTTTATTATTGAACCTTTTTAACTTTTCAATAATATAATTGATATAACTACGAGTAAACTTAAAATGTTGCAATCAATTTTTTAAAATTCAATATAATAAATACTTTAGCATCTTCTCTTAATTTATGTGATTTAATTGAAAAGGTATTGTAAAAAAGACCGGGAGGGGTACTTTCCAATTGGGACTGAATTGAGTCAGAGATCATTTAGTTAGTGACTTGCGGCATTGAATTGCATACTTAGAAACAATGGTTCCTTTAGCTATCTTAAATCTATAGCTTGTGTTTACCTGTTGTGTTTTAGAGCTGCATTCAATATAAGTGACTGCGCCAATCATTTTCTTCAGTTCTTCACCCTGCACAATACAAGCAAATTGTTAAATCCATTGTACACTCAAAAGAATTTTTTTTCTTGGTTTAATTTGATGAGGGCATGCCTGAGCTGTTGTTATTCGCGTGGCTCCAGGATGATCAATCAGAAATTGCTTATCATCTCGCAAATCTGTGCATACATAAGGTTTAAATGGAAACTTGTATTAGGTTTGAAGTCCATCGACCAAAGTTTTAAGTATTGCGTGTTTTGTGAGCAACGACCAGATGAAATTTTACAAGATATTTATGATCTTACACATGAAACTGATTAACGTTAAATACATCAAAGGAAATAAAAGAATAGTGGAAGACGTAGTTTCTTTCCTCGGATTAATCGCAGTCAAAACTTTGTCTAGCAATTAAAAAAGAAAATAGAAGTCCTTTTTAACTAATTTTTTTAACTTGGTTTTATTTCCTGTGTTTTCTGCCATGGCACACAAGTCACAACATTGAATTGGAAATATGTTGACGAGGGTTATATCTATATCTATTGAAGATTCATAACTAAAATAATTCAATCTTGCTTTATCCTTGATAAATAAATAAGAAAAAAGAGAATATACACAAAGATTGTCTTTTGTGCACACAACACTGTAACTGCTGGTATACCCAGCTTAATTATATGCCTTGAAAGTAAAAAAGATTTTAAAAAAAATGTCATAACTTGTGAACTCATGATGATGATGATTGTGATGCTGCTCTGATGTAATTATCTTACCTAGTTTTGTTCCCACCAGCACTATAGGCACATTCGGAGCATAATGTCTCAGCTCGGGTATCCACTGTGTGTGAAGAAACCAATATGAATGTGCATATTTATTTTAAATTCTTGACAATAAAAATCTGAGCTGAAAACTTACTAGAGTTACAAATAAAGAGGGATCTGAAGCAAATAGGAACTTACCTTTTTGGAAATGTTTTCATAACTAGCTTTACTGATGAGAGAATAGCACAACAGAAACACATCAGCTCCTCTGTAGCTTAAAGGCCTTAGCCTGTTGTAATCTTCTTGTCCTGTGATCCACAAATTATACCAATTACCTCACTCACACTCACAAGTTCATAAAAACAATTTCCTAATCAATTTAATGTGAAAATTAAACATAGAGCTGAAGAAGGATAACCAACCTGCAGTATCCCATAAACCCAGATTAACTGTACTACCCTCCACCGTTACATTAGCACTGAAATTGTCAAACACTGTTGGAACATAATCCTAACATTGAGAAAACCAAAGGAAAAAAGAAGTTCTCATTTTTCTTATACATGTAATGTACAATACTGAACCTTCCCTGACCAAAAAATATAGTTAACAAAAGCATACCGTAGGAAAGGTATTGCTGGTATAGGATATAAGCATGCAAGTCTTTCCCACGGCACCATCTCCAACTGTTACACACTTGATAAACCTGGCTGTACTCATTGTTTTATGTTCTTGTTCTTTAGAACAATACTCTAATACTGAGGGACAATTGAAACTATATTTATTAAGAAGTTTGAGGTAGAAATTATGATGAAAAAGAAGTGAAAGAAAGTAGGGGAGGCTATGACTTAACAACCTAGGAGCAAGTATATTACCTACTTTAGTTGTGGCTCATGGAATTGATCAAATTTATAATCATTGCCTTGAAAAGCATTTCTTTTCTTTAAGTTCAAGGACAAAACTAGATACGGTAGCAAAGTAGGTATAGTGCTGGCGTTAGTTGGTTAAGTGTGGGAGAAGGGAGGTAATGAATGATGAAAAGCAAAGAATTTGCTTAATTAACCAATACACTATGGCAAAATAAAGGATGAATTGAGGTATGATGTGATGCAAAGCAAGTCAAAAAGTTTGTTGCGATCTATTCGGTATGTCTTTGTTCCTAATTATATTTCTTGGTAGTTATGCTTGAATAGATTGATCTGTTTTCTTTGTCCCTGTGGGTCCACTTTTATTCCACAAATCCAAAAGTGAAATGCTCTTTACTTCATCTTATTGCAAAACACAAAGTGTAATGAAAATTAAAGCATACTAAGCATTTTTAAATTCAACCCTTTATTTGCCAAATTCAACCCAATGCACTTCATCCTCTCTTGCTAGTTTTTTTAAAATTGGACTAACTGTTACACTGATGAATGCACTAAATCATGATTTATTTAGTTTCATCGTGATTAAATTATCAGTAATAAAATATATATTTTAACATCATATAATATCTTCAGTAATAAAATGAAAAAAATGACAATAAAAAATTAAATAAAAGAATATGTATGTGTGTGTATATAGATATATATAGCATAAAAGTCTTTATCTATTTTAGAAAAGCAAAAAAAAATAAAAATAATTCAAATTAATTTTTTGCACCATTTCTTACAGTAATGAACTAATTCTCGTTTTTTGTTTTTGGTCTAACCTAATTCTTGATTGGTCTGACCACTTCTTAACGTGTTTTTCATTCTATTGGATTTGAGTTATTCGGACTGACGTGCAAAATAATTCTCATTTGATTCAGTATAGTAACTAATATTACTTTCTATATAGAAATTCTTATCTTTTTTTATAAATGTTTGTAATTTTTGGTGGGTGGTATTAGCATAGATAAGTACATTAATTATTTGTATTGGATAGTATAGTATTCTTATTATCTGGAGTTCTTGCTTAAATCTAAAAAATATACAGAAATTTTCTAATTGAAATCATATTTCATATGTCGTCATTATAATAATTCTTTTCTAAATAAAATTATTTTTAATTATTTTTCATCAATGTAATTCGTGAAAAAATATTCTGTCTTAAATCATTGTAAAATATTAGCACGTTAATTTTTAATTAAATTATCACTATCAAACAGTAAAGCTCCAAGAAATAAAATAAAATATTATTAATTAATAAATAAAAATTACTCATGTTTACAGAAACTAATATCTGGCCACGTGATTTTGTACGTAATGCATTCAAATTTACAGCATAAATCTTTACTTCATGTTTAAAATATCGCAATCAAATTACAATTTTTTTAAATTTTAATATTTTATTATAAACTAATTTAAAGTACAAGAAATATTTAAACCGTTATAACTCTAAAAAAATTAATAATATATATTAATAAATTATTAATCTAATTTGTATATATTTATATAAACAAAGTAATTAATAATTAAATTTAAAACATAAAAAATTATAAGAAAATCATCCAACTTTGATGGTTCAAGATTTTTATCACAAATAAAATTTAAAATAATATTAAAAAGTTATCCTTTTCCTTTAAAATACAATATTTTATATTTTATTTTAACAATTTATAAAATAATTGAATATTTTATCGATCATTTGTTCGACTAATATTATGACGAAATATATTAAAGATTAATAATTTATTTTTATAAAATAATTTATTAATAAAATTTGATTTTGCCTACACTTGAATATAGTATGCATTTAAAAAGTTTAAAGTTAATATTTTAATTAATTGATTAGTGAGAGACATTTAATAATATTTGAGTTAAAATATAAAAAATGTTGAATCTAAAACAAAAACAAGGCATGGATTATACATGCAATTATAGTTTAATTTTTAATTGAAATTTGTAATTTATTTAATTTTTTAAAGCGTGCCTCATTATTGATGCAGTATATGACAAATTTGTAAGCCTTGCACTTTTTCCCGTGATATCTACGTGCCGAGCTTGGATGGTTAAACACATTCGTTTTCTTTCCCGACTTTGCTCTCCAATCTTGATTATCAACTTTCGTCATTCTTGACTTTGCTCTGTTTTTCATCTCTATACTTTTACCTGTGGTGGCTGGCGGCAGAGGCAGAGATATGGTATCAAGATTCAAGGAAACATGACAGGGAAAGAAAACATCTGGTGAATGACCCTGCACGAGCGCGGCATGCAGATATCAATGGAAACAGTACAAGGTAGATTCTCTTCTGATTTCTTCTTTACCAGAAGACACGATCCAAGAATGTCGACCGGCACTCGTCGATTCATCAACATCTCACAAACCACAGATCATGATCGAAAAAAAGAAGGCACAACGGGTTGTTATGTGCTGAGAAAGGGGAGGTAAATTTGCGACTAGAAAGTCATTTTAGTGCACTATTTATATAAAGTTTTCTACATTATTCATCAATTAAGATACAATTATAAAATTAATTATCTTTCTAGACATGACAGTTTTAAATTAAATTTAAATGTCGGTGTAAATTATTGTAATTAATTTTTATATTTTATGAGTTCAATAATAAATGGAATCAACTAGATGATATCAACGTAACAAACGAAAACGAAAAATTGAATAATTAGAGCTCGTTTATTCTCTCTTTTTAAATCAATTTTTTTATTTTTAAAATTAAAAAATAGAAAAAATTATTTGCTAATGTAAGTTTTAAAAATTATTTTTAAAAATTTTTATTTTTATTTTTTAAAACTAAAAAATAAAATTATTATTTAGGTATTTTTATTTTTATTTTTATTTTTATTTTTTCTTTTTAAAGCTAACAAAAGTCTAACTAAAAACAGTTTTAAAAACTAAATTATCAAACAAAACTTATTTTATTTTATTTTTTAAAAATAATTTTATAAAAATATTTTAAAATATAATTTTTAAAAATTAAAAATATTTTTATAAAATTTGTACTATATCAAATTCTTTACGCAATAACAAAAAAAAATATAAAATAATAATAATAATAAATATGATTCATTGGATAATATCTTTGACATGTATCAATTATCTTTGCTAGAAGGGACAATTTTTTGTTACAGCGGTTTTATAATTTAATTAAAATTTTGAAAACTAAACAAACTATTAACATATTTTCAATTAGCCGAAAAGTCTTGTATTAGATATAAATATAAATATAAATAATATATAAATAAAAATAACCATAACTTATTAACAGAAGTTGGTTCAAGAATGATCATAATTTATTAATGGAAGTAAATTTAAGTGGTAAAACAGTTCAGTATATATATATATATATATATATATATATATATATATAAATATCTAATATATTATTATTATCATATAATATTCTTATTATACTACAACTATTTAATGAATTAATCTAAAATTATACTCATTTTTTAAATAGTTTATTGTTGAAAAGAAAGACTCATTTTAGTGCACTATTATTATAAAGTTTTTTGAATTATTCATCGTTATAAAATTAATTAATTTTTTAAATATGACAATTTTTAATTAAATTTAAATGATGTTGTAAATTATTTTATTTGAATTAATTTTTATATTTTATGAGTTCAATAATAAATGGAGGAGGTTTTATTTTAATTTTTCAAATTCAATTATAACGTAACCAACAAAAACTGGGTCGTTAGCTAAGGCAGAACCTTTCATTTTCAGTACAACAGAGGATAGGTCCATTTTTTCAAATTAATTAAAACTTTTATCTTTAATAAACTTTTAAGTGTTAAAGACTGATATTTAGTTGTATAATTAAACTTGTACTTTAATCTCTGAGAGAGTTTGAGTTCAATATTTTATTTCATGAGACATTTAAAATATCATGTTGATCTCTAAATTCTTTTTCTATCATTCATTTTAGTTCCTAACGTCAGACCCTGTTAAGAAACCATGACAGAAAACTGAGTTGTCACGTTAAGTGCTATGTTAGAATCTCACTTAATATAAACAACATCGTTTTTTGAAGCCAGCGTGACACTTTTAATTGTGAAACAATGTTCTTGTGATTGAAGCCCTTTTTGCCCAAACTTAATCACATATTTCCTCATTTGTGTTGAAGAAGAACTTATAAGTGCACGCAAAATCTCGCATAAATTCTTGTTTGTAGTTGTATTTGTGAGTGAAATATTTAGAGATTGAAATTTGTTGTAGTGAAAAAAGGGCCAACAGATGGAGAATTCAGTAAAAAAAAAAATTTTCTTAATTCATTAAGTCATTTTTTTGTTTTGGGATGACGAATCCTAAGTGTTCAATGTTTTGGGGACGTCAAACCCTAATTGTTTTCTTTCTCCTTAATCGGTGTAAATGTGATTATTGGAAAATGATTTTTGTTTGTTATCAAGAAAACAACAAGGGATGGTAGGAAGTGGTCCCCTTATGTTTCTTACAGTTTTTTGGTTTTTAAAATTAAAAAGATAATGTTAATGGAAGTGGTCTCTTTTTGCATGGTTTAACCTAATTCTCCCATGTGTGTGCATGACTTTCATTGTTTATTCATTAAATTAGTTTAAAATTACAAAGGATTTCTGAATTTTTTGATAATTTTGTCTCTGTAAATGCAGACAATAATGTTCTACATTCACCATAGAGAAAAATTTGTAGAAGAAAATAGGATTAAGAAAGAGTATAGGTGGGATAAAATTGAGGTTTGGGCTAATGTTGATGAAGACATGGTAAATATTTTCAGCTTCAAAAACTTTGCCAAGGCAATGGGGTATTTAAGTAATATAAAAAATATAATGGTCTGATCCTAATAAAGAGTTTGATGAAGGTTTGAAATTATTAAAATATGATGCTGATGTGTTAGAAATTGTGGTTGTTACTAAGAGGAATAAAAGAGAGATGCATGTATATTATGAGCATGAAATTGGTAAACTATAACTACTTGATGACAATGAAATTCTAATGTTGGAAGGCCCTGAAGTTGATACTGTAGCAATGAAAGAAGACATTCAAGTTGAACAACCAGTAATAGAAGAATGTATTGAAGTTTAACAACCAGCAATGGAAGAAGTAAAAGTTGAAGATGTAACAGCAGAAGAATTAGAAATTGAAGATATAACAGCAGTCCATGAAGTACAAGTTGAAGTTGAGAGGAAACATTAGAAGAAAATGGCAAAGGCAAAACAAATAGAAAAAGAAAAAGGAAAAGACGATTCTAGTAAATTAGTTGGAGAAATAAGAAGAAGTTTGCTAATAAAAGACAACCTTCAGTCTGCTACATTAGAAAGAAAATAGTAAAAAAAAAAAAGGCATGGGAAAAGAAAAAGAGAAATAGCCAAAAAAAATGAAGAAAAAGGTAAAGAAAAAATTACCTATACTAATGAAGAAAATTATTCACATTAGGAACTTTTTGAAAATATTATGGAAGATGTAGGAGGTGTGGGTCATAGGAAAACATACCACTGTGAAGAGAGAGGAGAGCATTCAGAAAATTCATGGAGGTCTGAAGAATTAATAACTCTAATAAACTTAGATGATGAATACAGTAACAAACAAGTTTTCTCCCAAATTAATGAATTTGCAAACTTTGAAAATGTTTACTTGGAGTTGAAATGGAGTTTGAAAGTTTATAATTTTTCAAAAAAGGTGTTAAGGGTTATACAATTCAGATGGAAAGAGAAAAAAGGTGAGGAAAAAATGACAAAGTGAGAGTAAGAGCTAAGTGTAAACATGAAAATTGCAAGTGAAAAATATATTGTGCAAAAAATAATGTCTCACATAACTTCTAGATCAAGATTTTTCTCAGTGAACATAATTGTGGCAGGGTTTTTAAAAACAAACAAGTAACACAAGATTAGGTTGTAGGTAAGCTTGTTATAAAACTAAGAAAACACCCGTCTATGAAATATTATGAAGTTGTTGAGTACTTTAAAAAGAAATTTAGTGTGTAGATAGAAGATACCAAAATATACATGTCAATAGTTAAGGCAAGAAAAATTGTAGAAGGAAGTAAGAAAGAACAATTTGGGAAGTTGTGGGACTATTGTGGAGAACTTTTGAGATGTAATCCAAGTTCAATTGTCAAAATGGAAACTAATCGTCAAGTTGAAGCTCCACGCAGTTAAAAGATTGTATATATGCCTTGCTGGGTGTAAAAATGACTTTAAGGCTGGGTGCAAACCAATGACAGGGCTTAATAGTGCATTTATAAAAAGTTATTACCGAAGACAGTTGTTGATAGCAGTAGGACAGGATGCTAATAATCATATATGAAATAGGATGTTAAATAAAAAAAAAATATGGCACTTATGCTCTATGGTATTGCCATGCCCACAAACACCACACATGATAGTATCACCAACTAACTTTTGAACATAATCTTTGAAAATGTGTTCAATGCAGAGAGTATCACCAACCAACATTAGTTTGAAATAGTTTTTAACTTTCTTGGTATATCACACATTTGGTTTGTTTACAGTACTCTTTGATATGATTTCATTCTTCTTTTAATCAAATTTTTCACTAAAATATAAATGAAATGTTGGTCAACAATGATTACAAAAAATTCTTTATTAATACTAAAACAAAATTTTATCATTATCTTACAACAAAATACATGCCAATACACATCAAAATATAAACAATTTGAACAAACAACTTTAATTTTCTAATTTCAACCTCTAAATATGTTATCTTGGTAGCCAAATTCTTCATCCATTCTTCATTCACAGCTGCTGCACTTGTAAGAGGAGAGGTTACTTAAGAGGTTGGATGATCAGCAACATTATAATTATCCTCCATGCTACTATTGTTATTAGCCCATGCAAAATAATTGCAATATTCACCAACATACACCATGTGTAAAAAGTAATTTAATTTATCAAAAATGACAATTGAACACAACACTAAATTAACTTTGTTTACCATATATTTGGGACATCTAAAGAACAATCTTTCAGGATTAGTTTCTGTTTGTGAGATTTTAACAGCTGCTCTCAACTCACAATGGCAAGTCTTGCCATTTCGTCTCTTATTTTGTTGTAATGATGACCTTGAAACAGAACTCATCAGAGGACTTCTATTACTATTATTAGCCATATAAAGTGTTGAAAATCCAAATCGTGCAAAGAAGGAAGGAACCTAATAATGAAACAAGATACCTCAATAATAGAAGAAAGGAAGAAACCTAAGTAACCCAATTGCAACTAACAACCCTAACCCTAATAGTGGAAGACTAGAGGCGCATAACATATATACTGATATATTTGGCAAAAGGGTCCTTAGATTAGAACAACGTCATTTGACTACTAAAGGTGTCACTAGCTTTCCAAAAACACGTTGTTTTTGCTAAGTGGAATTTTGACGTGGCACTTAACGTGACAACTCAGCCTTCTGTCATAGTTTTTTAACGGAGTCTGACGTCAAGGACTAAAATAAATGACAGAGAACGAAGTTGGAGATTAATATGATATTTTAAATGTCTCAAGGATTAAAATGCTCAACTCAAACTCTCTTAAGGACTAAAGTGAGGATTTTGTTTTAATTATACTCAATGTTGTTAAAATGAAGTAGTTAGCTTAATTCGAGCCATCATATTTTAAACTCTGAAGTTATTGGGTTGAATTTTTTTTAAAAGAATATTTTTTATTTGGATTGCAAAATATAAACTTAAGTATGATTATATTTAAATAGACTGAGTCAATTTATGTTATTTGGAATGTATTTGGATATAAATTAACTATGAGTATTATAACCAATTTGTGAAGTTTTGACACTTTGGAATGTATTTGGATATAAATTAATTAAATATTTATGTAAGAAAATTATTACTTTCTGAAAATTTATTTACAGGTTAAATATAAAATTTATAAAAATTAGCTTAAAATTATTTTAACAAATTTATTCTTAAAATCTTTTAAAATAAATTAAAATACATTAAAATGTCATAAATATGTAAGATTTTTCAAATGCTCATTTAACAATCATTTTGGTATAATAAAAACTTTCAAAATTTATACATCATGAAAGAAATAAGAAAAGAATGAGCAAAGAATAATATAAGATAAATGATATTATAAAAATAAATATATAAATATTATTATAAAATGATATCATAGTGTTTCATATTTTCTTATGCCGATCGATTCTACTTTGAAGTTAGATAATAATAATACATGAAAAGATATACATACGCGTGATAAATTTCTCTAATGTTTCTATCTGAATTATCATCGCGTCAAAAAGTAGATAGCAAATATTCTAAGTAATCACTCCCCAAGTCCTGAAACACAAAAACATCAACTTCATTTTCTAGCACGCTTTCCCATCTTGCCAATTTTTTGTTTGCATGTTCTTCATTCACCATATCCACAAATTCTTCTTCCTGTCCCCGTGATTTTCTCTTGTGCGCATTGCAAGAATTTTCTTTGTGGTCAGTGCCTAAAGCCTGTGACACAGTCTCAAGAGGGAAATTGAGGTATGCCTTTGGACCTCTAATTCTCAAAGAAGCCTTGTCATAAGCTAGAGCAGCTTCTTCAGCAGTGTCAAATGTTCCAAGCCAAACTCTAGTACTAGCACCTTTCTTGGAAGAGTCTCTTATCTCTGCTGCATATTTACCCCATGGCCTTCTCCTTACTCCCCTGTAGTGTTTTTCTACCACCTTTTCCTCTCTCACACCATTCTCTACCTTGTTATTGGGTTTACCACTGCCAATTCCCATAAGGGTGTCACCAGAATCTTCAGTATTGTTTCCATCAATTACAACCCTTTGTAAAATTTCTTCCCAAAAGTCAGCCCCCATTGATATCCATCTCCCTAAACTTGGAAGCCTTTTCAGAATCTCCATTGACCCTTCTCTTCCATCGGGATTACGATGTTCTTCCCATGAGTTGGGAGATTCTGCTGTATCACCGCTGATAATTTTAGACCACACATTCTCAAGAATCTCTTCAGAACCGGCATGAATAGCCATGGTGTTAATTGGCATCACACATGAGAAGGATATATAGTTTGAAGATATATATAATAAAGGAGATATACATTTGAAGTATGGAGGGTCTATGACAGCTATGCTTAGCTTTATTATGCTAAATGAAGGGGAACTTAGTAGGAAACTTGTGCATTAATCCACAGACCAGATAAGTTGAAAGAGGTTTTCAACCTTAAGAAATGTCTTGACATGGTGGGTTACATTATTTTATTGCTTCCCTCTTGACTTGTGTGCTTGTTAAATCATTTGGGACGTGGATTCTGTATATTGTATGCATTGAATTGGAATATGTTCGTATAGTGCTTATCGATCGACTATTAAGAAACAGAAAGGCAGAAGCATTTGAAAGCTGGCCACAATGAATTTCGTTGCCTTTTCTTCGGTTTGGAACAGCTATATAATTATTTTATTTTATTTTTTCTGTCATAATGCTTCTTCAAGCTTACCCTCCTTTCCCCTTCTCTCATCTCAACATAATTCTGTGATGTTTCTTTTCATGTCAAACTTTACATGATAAATTCATGTTTAAATCTAAAATTTATTTATTTTTAACAAACAAGAGAGAGATAAATATAAAAGTTAAACTAAACTTCAAAATTATTTCAAAATTATTTCAACAAGTTTCTTAACTTATTAAAATAAAATACGTTTAGCTTATTTATTTAAAGAGGATTCAGTTCCTTATCATATTTATTTTGAATTTTAAAGCATAATAATCACTTCGAGCCATCTAAATGTTCCAACAGTTGTTTTAATATAATTGTATCTAAATCTTTCTAATTAAATTAGTTATTTTGTATTGTGTGATACTTAAGGTATATTTAGATCATTGAAAAATATTAGAATGAACAAGAATAAAATAAAATGAGCCATTATAATTTAATTTTTTTTACAATTGAAAGAAATAGATATAAAACAAAAATGATTTTAAACAAACTTTTTATTTTTCTTTCCCTGTCTTGAAGATACAAGTAATAAAGTTATTAACTTTTATCATTTTTCTCTTTTCCAACAAAAATGTTACTTTAATTTCATTATGAATTAAATATTTAAAGAATAATATGTTATTTTATTTTATTTCAGATATTCTTCAATCCTCCCTTCAATTTGTAAAAATGTAAAGGTACCCAACATTCTTACCCTCCGATGATTCCTCCCCATCCTCGACTCTCTCCTTCCTCTCCATGCGCCGCAAACCACCACCACCCTTCTCCTCGCTGAGTCGAACTGAGTCAATCTAACTCAGTAACAGTTCTCTTCTCTTCCAACACCGTCGAATTAAGGACATGTTGCTCACTCACCAAAACTTCATCACCTTAGTTAGGGTGTTTTATCACCTGAAGCGCATGGTCGATGAGACGATGATGGATTTGACGAGGAGCTACACCTGGTGTCATTGTTCACGCTGTCACTGTTCCACATGTTCGGGTTTTTCATGCTAAATTGGGCTATAGCTATGGGGGAGACTTTGGTGGTGATTAAACAAGTTTGATTTTGAAGTGATATGAAGGTCGTGGAAAGGTACAAGATCACGCACAGGTTATTCCGTGTTCGATTGAGGAGAAAAAAAAAGAAAAAAAAAATAATGGAGTAGGAAAATTATGGAAATATCCTTCTTTATTATTGTTTTTCTCTGCGGTCATTATTAACTATTCAATTAAAAACCCTTCAATCAAACAGTCGACAATGCATCATTATTAACCATTCCATTAAAAAATTCTTCAACCGAAAAGTTTACAATGTATGTCAATTTTATGCAACTTTTTGAAGTGATAATTTTTTTTTTACTTTTTAAAGTTAAAGAAAGGATTGAATAATTATTCTTATATTTTATTTCCTTTCATTATTTTTTATTCTTACATGTCTTTTTCCCGCCACTACTTGGGCCATAAACTTTTCCTTAGTTGATGTCAAAGTTATATGAAAGTTTTGGTGTCTTATTTTTAAAAATTAAGTACAAGTAATTTTGAAAAAAATAATAATTTTGAGGTCTTAAATATAATTGAGATATGTGTAAAATAACCTTAATTATATTTTTATTATTAAAAGTTGCGAGAATTATATTTTAAAGAGACAAATAAGCCCTTCATGTTCATTTTATATCCAAAACCAATTCTTTACCCTATGTATATCTTGAGATTAATTTAGATATACAACTTATATAATTACATTTAATATTTTAGAATTAATTCTATTTAATTTTAGATGAAATGAACGCTAGAAACATTCGTGAAGATGACAGAGTCGTCAGGGTTGGATTAGATTTTTTATTTTTTTTGTTTTATATATCATTGTAGTTTTTTTTGTATTTCTATATTAAAGAATTAATTTGTGACATCCTCTGCACTTTGAGTTTAGCTTCTTTTCTTCTTTCTTCTTCTTTATATTGTTTCTTTGAGGATTTCTTTTCCGTAGTTTGTAACCTCTCGAACCCCTTCTAACTTTTTAAACGAAAATCATGCTATCATGACATCGAGAATGAATCTTCTTCGTAAACTTAATCATGCTTATACGTAAAAATATAAGCTCCATCAAAGTATAAACTTCCTATTTTTATTCTTTATATTTTATCACTAATGTTCTATGTATTTTATAAAAGAGAAGATTATGTGAATAATTAAATATTGTTTATTAATAGAATAAACCTATTTTATTGTATTTAAATTTTTAATAAAATAGTGGATGAAAATATTACACATAAATACTTTAATGTTTTGTCTGTAAGAACAAATATTAAACGAAATCACATTAACATGACATTGGAGGACGAAGAAAAAAATAATATCGTATTAACGTATGCATATCGTTATACATGGCTGGCTAATCTCCGTTTATCATAGGATGTGTGTATATAAACTTTGAATTATTTTGAATCAATTCCAATGCGTGAAGGAACACACAGAGCATTTCTTGGAACCAAAGAAAAGAGAGTTTGGTCAAATAAGATAATGATTTATGACATAAAATAGAAACCACGCTCACACAGTGGTCTTTCGGAAAAGACAAAACTTAATACAATTATTTACTTTAGTTTTTGTTATTTTTTAATTAAAATATTTTTATTTTAATAATTTATAATAATCTTAAATGTGATTTTATATTAAAGTAAAATTCTATTTTTAATAATAATTAAAATCCGTATAAAAAAATATCTGAATAACTGTACTTAAATTCTACCTTTTTGAAAATATAAATGTACTGCGTTACAATAGAAAAGAGAGGTTTAATGATTCCACACTCATTGTCTTTTAAAAAAATTCTAAGCACATACCTTGTAATGTAATCATTCCAATATACTATTATTAGTTGAAAATTAATAAAAATGATGTGAGTGTCATTTTTAGTTTAATAAATTTTATTTATAATATCAGTCTATATGTGTGTGTGTGTGTGACAAAAATTTGGGCTTCAGTAGTTTCGGGTACTGGACTTGCCTGTATCAATGATGACAATGAACGATGGCGTCATGGGGTCCTAAATTAGGACATGTTAAACTTTTAAAAAAAAAAAAAATTTGGTCTGGTTCTAATTAAAATATTAAAAATAAAAATACTTATTATAAATTTGCGTTGAAAATATTAAAATTACGAGAGATGATATATTAATAATATAATATTTTTAATAAAATTTTATAATTTAAAATTTTAATCAATATTCTTAAAATATTGATTGTCATTTGCTTGTTTTTATTTATTTTTGTGTGAAAATATTCGGAATGCATACTTTTTAATGCATTACTTTTATAAAATTCTTTGCTTATGTGTCATTATCATTTTGATTTTTAATAACAATAACAAAATTGTTATATTATTTTTATTTTATTTCTTAAAATATTTTCAAGGAAATAACAAAAACATTCTTGAACGTTTTATAATAAGTAGTACATTATCCTTTTCGTTTTTAAGAGAAAGGTATATTATCCGTTTATCTTTTATATATCTTACATGTATAAATGTTTTACTTGTTAACCAATTGGTGACTTTGAAGGAGTTCTTAAATTAATTTAGTCAGAATCAACTTGGTCAAACTCGCGGAATTGAATGTCATTGAATTTGTATATATTTTTAGTTTAAAAAAATATTATATGTATATATAATCGTTTAAAAAATATATTGAAATCAAAATTAAGTATAAGAATAATTAAAAAAATAAAATTAAGGAGGTCAAATTAGATCAATTGAATTTAAAATAAAATTACTGAATAACAATTGAATTACGCCAATCTTTAATCGATTAATTGGATTAAACTAACTATTTTAATTTAAATTTGACAGATTATATTTTTTTTATAGGCAACACATATATAATTAGAGAAAATTCAAGAAGAATTCAAAATTCATATATAGAAAAAAAATCAATACTTATACAGCAAAATAAAAAGATAAAAAAAAGGCTCATGCTAAGCTAAGGTGAATGCTATGTTGTAGGTTCATATACTAATTATCTAATAAAATAGTTTTTCTATTACTAAAATGTGATAATCACTTTTAGGACCTTAGAATAATAGAATCTAAAACTTATCTCTCATCTAAAATATTATTAGAAAATACTATTCTATTTTTATGTAATTACAAAGACCACATTGTACTTACCTAAATAATTAATAAACATATCTCTTCTCTTTTACTACAACCAACACCAACATAAATAAATAAGTGGGTTGATAAATCTGAAGGCAAAATCAATAAAAACCTAAGCTAACACGCAGTAAAGTACTAGATTTGAGATAAAATTGAGCACGTTAAAAATAAATGACTTGAAAATTCTTTCAAATTATGACAGAAATAACAAGTTATATCGTTAATTTAAATACTACAATTAATCAACAAACCTTTATATGTAATTGTATTCAACATCAATTGCCAAAAAAAATACTAGACACTTAAGATGAAACTTCTCTCTCTGTAACCGTCGCAAGGCATCATCGTACACTAATCTGTGCTATTACAACCACTAAAAAGTTCAAACAATCATAAATATGC